CCTCGTCGCCTTCCTCGTACCCAGCGTGCCCGTCGGCTTGGTAGTGTGCCCGCCCGAATAGGTGGAGCCACAACTCCCAATGGGGAGCAATCCCCAAAGTACCCCTCGAGACGGCAACAAAGATAGCCGCTGGCGATGGAGTTAGGGGTTGAAGTTGTGGAGCTCCACGCCGTAGTAATGCGGGAGGCGCCCGCATGAACCGATCCGCTGGGACGCCAAGGCCGCACTCGTGAAAGGAGACGAAGCTTATGACGTAGTCATCGTGGGGCCTCGGTTCTCGCTCGCCATACGGAGCAATCCACTCCGCCCTGGTGGGGTCTGTCACCGGGCGAAGGAGTCCGCCGTCGACAAGCGACTGAAGCATCTCCTCGGTGACATCCGACGGATCCTAGGGGTCCACCTCGACAACGACGATGTCGTCGGCCATGGATGCGATGGAGGAATTAGGTGCGGCGGTGAGTTTTTTTCTCTCTCTCCTACGCTCTTGCTTTTTCCTCGCTTTCTCCCTGGGCTCGCTCTTCTCCCCTCTTCTTCCCAGCACCCGCTGCTCTAGCGATGGCTCGACGGAGGCAGTGCTAATGCTGGCAAGGTAAGACGAGGAGGGGCGGGACTCTTTGGGTATTTATGTAGGGAGGAGGCGAAACGAATGGGCGATGAAATCGGGGAAGTTTCCCCCCGATCCGGCGCAGTTAACCACAAACCGATTTCGCTGGCCCACGCGCCCACGTCTCCCTCATTAAATGCGAGAATAGGTACATCCCATCCACCATGTCATGCTCGGCCACTACGGCAGCAGGCGTCATTTTGCCTCCCTAAGAAACCGCCTCAAAAGGTGCGCCACCCGTTGCCGAGCCAATAGGGAAAATATTCCCCACGGCCTATTCCTTTCATATGAAGGAACCAGGCTCTGAGCCTATTACGGTCCAGGGGTTCGAAGGATGGGTCCCAAGAGGTTTTGACAGCCACCCTAGGATAACAGAGTCAGGGACGACCGTGGGCGAGCCTATACGGGGCCGAGACCCAAGCAAGCGAAACACTTGGGACGCCCAAAGTCGTGTCCGAGACATGCAGGAAGGTCTCTGAATGGGATCCCACCGTAGGGAGGCACCGAGCCACCGAGGCCCAGCGAACGGCCTCGGCACCCACTAGAGAAATCCTTTGGTACTCTTGGAGTGTGTCTCTGGACCACTAGCCGTCCCCTAGCGAACGGGGTTCGGACCACCACTCGGACTACTCGATAACAGCTCACCGGAAGTGTCCACGCTCGTGCCCATCGAGGGTAGCGAGGCACATTCCACCCCTCCTTCCGAGCGAAAAGGAAGCATGAGGGTCGTACAAAAAGTCAGGGGAACCCCTGACGGCCTTCTCACTCTATGCAGGGGCTAAGGGGCTCTTCCTGCAACCTTGCCGAGACCCGATGACCCCGGCTCGCACTCAAAGGGGCTCGGCAAAACAAACCCTCCTTCTGAGCGAAAAGAAAGCGTGAGGGTCGTACAAAAAGACAGGGGAGCTCCTGACGGCCCTCTCGCCCTGTGCAGAGCCTAGGGGGCTCTTCCTGCAGATACGCCGAGACCCCATGACCCAGGTTGGCGCCCAAAGGGGTCTCGGCAAACAAACCCTCATGCGCGAGGGGCGTATAAAAAGCCAGGGGAACTCCCGACGGCCCTCTCGCTCCGCACAGAGGCTAGGGGCTCTTCCTGCAACCTTGCCGAGACCAGCGGCTCCGGCTCGCACCCAGAGTGGGCTCGGCAAACAAACCCTTCGTCCGAACGAAAAGGATATGTGAGGGTCGAATGAAAAAGCCAGGGGACCCCTGACCGCCCTCTTGCTCCTGGCGGAGGCTCGGGGGCTCCTCCTGCGCCTAAGACAAAGACAAATGGTCTAAGTCCACGCTAGAAGTTCCGTTACAAATACGATAAAGGGCACCGAGCCCGTTACGGTCCAGGGGTTCGAAGGCTGGGCCTCCAGAGGTTTCGACAGTCGCCCCAGGGCAACAGTTAGGGACGACCTTGGGGCGAGCCTATGAATGGCCGAGGCCTGAGCGAACGATCACCCGATCGCTCGGGGCGCCCTAAGTCGTGTCCGAGACCGGCAGGGAAGTCTCCGAATGGGATCCCACCGTAGGGAGGAACCGAGCCACCGAGGCCCAAATGAACGGCCTCGGCACCCACTAGAGAAACCCTCTGGTACTCTTGGAGTGCGTCTCTGGACCGCTAGCCGACCCTTAGCGAATGGGGTTCGGGCCTCCACTGGGACTACCCGATAACAGACTCACCGAAAGTGCCCACGCTCGTGCCCATCGAGGGTAGCTCAGCACGTTCCACCCCTCCTTCCGAGCGAAAAAGGCGTGAGGGTCGTACCCAAAGTCGGGGATCTCGACGGACCTCTCGCTCCATGCGGAGGCTAGAGGGTTTTTCTGCAGCCTCGCCGAGACCCGCAACCCAAACTTGCGCCAGGGCTCGGCAAATGCGATAAAACTCCTCGCTCAAGCATAAAAAGCGAAAAAAGCCCCCGGAGGAGTAACTCCACTCCTCCAGGGGCCTCGAGAACTACACCCGGCCAGAGGCTGCACACTCCCACCAAAAACCACCAAGTACAAAACACAATCCCAACAGGAGCTGCTACGAGCCAAGTCTCGTCAAAACCTCAGGAGAGTGCCCGCATTCCTCCCAAGGCTCGGGGGCTACTGTCGGATACCACAAGAAGGGGTACCCTAAGCAAGAACCGAAAATA